GCAACAAGCTGCAAAATACAATTTCAAATCAGGTAAGCCCAGTCCTCCTCTTTCTTTTAACATCTTGCAACACCTTATATTTAACTCATGGGTTTTTCTCCCTGTCACACAAATTTAGATATACCCTTCTGCCATTGTTTAAATGGAGCATCAGTTGTCAAAACAAGTATTGTCTGAAACAAAAATAACATTCTAGGTAAAATAGTAATCTTAATCACAGAAATTCTCAATTGTATTTTCTCCCAACTTAACGTATCTTTTTAAAACTTAATTCCATGTCTTAACATATGGAAATGTTATTAATTTTGAAATAACATACAATTCATATTTGTCATAGTAATACCCAAGTATTTTGCATTCTTTTCAATCTTAAAACCTGTTTTATTCTTGAATTCTGTTTGACCTTGTATTTTCATATTTTTATTAACATCTTCATCTTCTGTTTATTGATCTTAAAGCCTGCTAATGCACCAAATTCTTTTAATTTACCAATTAGTATTTCAATTCCCTTTAAAGGATCTTCCAAACCCAGCACTAAGTCATCTGCAAAAGCTCTTAATTTTTACTCCCACAATCCTCTCATCTTGTCTTATGTCTCCATTCAATATTTCAAGAAGCAAAATAAACAGAAGAGAGGACAGTGGGCAGCTATGTCTTGTTCCTTTTTGTATCTCACATGGTTTTGTTAGATCTCCATTGACAATAATTTGTGCTTTCTGTGAAGTATAAATCAATTTTACTCATTTTAAAAAATTCTCTCCAAAATTCATATCTTCCAAAACTTTAAATAGGAAAGTCCAGTTCAAATTGTCAAAAGCCTTCTCTGTATCTAAGAAAATCAATGCAGCTTGTTTTTCATTATGTTGTTCCAAATATTCTAAAACATCCAGCACAGTTCTAACATTGTCCTTTAACTGTCTTTTAGGTAAGAACTCACATTGGTCTTCATGAATAAATTCTGGCAAAATTATTTTCAGTCTCTCTGCTAAAATCATTGTGAACAACTTATAGTGATTATTCAATAACGATATCAGTCTACAGGTAGTCCTCACTTAATGACCGTTTGTTTAACAACAGTTCAAAGTTTCAACAGCCTCAGAAAAAGTTATTTACAACCATTGCAAACTGTCGCACCACCCCCTGCAGTCATGGATTGCAATTTGTGACCTTTTTTATGACAGTTGTTAAGCACATCATGTAGTCATTAAGCGAATTCTGGCAAAAAAGTCCATTGAGGAAGCTGGATTCATTTAATGACCATATGATTCACTTAATGACCACAGTGATTCACCTAATGACCATGGTGATTTGCTTAACAATCGTCATAAAAATGGTTGTAAAATCAGGTCTGGACACGTGGTGACTCACTTAACAACTGCCTCACTTAACTACCAATTTTCTAGCCCCTATTATGGTCATTAAGCGAGGACTACCTGTATAGTTTCTTGTTAACATCAAATCTTGTTCTTCTTTAGATATTAGTATATATTAGCCTCTTTCCAAGTCTCTAGCATCTTTCCTCCCTGTAAAATAAAATTTATTGCATTTTATAGAGATTGTAAAAGTTCATCCTCAAAACATTTATAATAAAAACCTGATAGTCCATCTGATCCATGCACTTTTCCTGGTTTAATCTTTTTTATAGCTTCAGAAACTTCCCTTATTGTTATAGCCCCAATCTTTGTTCCTTTGTAATCCTTGGTAAATTTTGTTTTTTTTTTTTAGATATTCATCTATTTTCTCCAAAGTATGTCATGTCCTTTATACAAATTAGAATAATACTGATGGAATGCTTTTTGCATAGCCACATTATCCATTAATACAGTCTCTCCCTCTTGAAGTTTAAGTATCATTTTCTTTTCTTTTTCTTTTCTTAGTTTGTACGCCAACCATTTCCCTGGTTTATTTGCAAATTCAAAATTTT